TTTCTAGAGAATGAATCCGAACCGATGGCAGGCAAGTACCCTAACAACAGAGATAAAGGCGAGGCATAAACGGAAACAGCGGCTCCATCTGATGCAGCGCGCAGCATTTCGCAAAATCACCTTAATTTTTGCCCTATGGTATGCTGGTGTGAAAGGCAATGAAAGAGCTGGTGTGAAAGGCAATGAAAGAGCAGACGCCCTGGCTGGCAGTGCGACTACTAGCACTGAGTCCTCTATGGACAGATGCGATATCGCCAATGCCATACGAGGGACTAGACGCTGTGAGGCTTTCAGTTTCGTAGAAAATAATTTTTGTTTCTCAGTAGACTACATACACCATAAACTGTGTTTAACGAGAGACCAAGGATTTCCAAAATATCTGGTGCACTTAATAGAATCTATTTACCACGAACAACAAGCAGCGGTCAGAGTAGCTGGTGAAACATCGGAATGATTTGAAGTGCAGAAAGGAGTGTGGCAGGGCTGCATTCTGTCTCACTCCCTCTTAACATATATGCTGAAAATATTATGAGAAACGCAATTAGCGATGAGGCATCTGAGAGCTTTAACCACTAAAAATTGGAGGTAATCCTATTCCAGAGAACTACATCTACCAATAAAAAAAAAAAGTAGCAGACACAGAAAGTACGTTATCACTCATGGCTGCCATCTTGCTTATAATATAATGTTGTTTGTTTTGTTTAAACAGGTGGTTCATCACTGCATTTCTCCCAAAAAGAAAAAGAACTGTACTCGCCCTCATTGTTACCGTCCTCATCCTCGTTGTGCTTTCCTATTCCTTGCTACCATCATCAGACGTTCCAGTGGAGTTTCCTTCATTGCAGTCGTTCACACGTGAGATCCCCAGCCCGAACTTGACCAAAACTCTGTCCACGTTTATAAAACCGCGAAGAGAAGAGAGGGTCAACTGTTCAGCCATCATCGACGGCGATGTAGCAGAGATAGAGAGAGCGGTACGTCTGTCAAATGACCTTCAAGGCGTAGAGAAAGAAATGACTCATCAAGAGTACATCCAGCTGGCCTTAAACTGCACACGTTTTTTGGACGAACGAGGTTACATCATGAATCCGTTGTCAGATGAAGAGCTGAGATTCCCTATTGCATATTCAGTTCTAGTGTACACCGACATGGAGATGGCCGAGCGGCTTTTCCGCGCTATATATCGTCCTCAGAATTATTATTGTATACACGTCGATGCAAAATCAGAGGAGATTTACCGAGCCTTTAAGAAGATCGTTTCTTGCTTTTCTAATGTGTTTCTCGCCAAAAGGAGACTTCACGTTGTCTGGGGATCCTTCAGTGTGTTGCAGGCGGATCTAGTATGTATGGAAACGTTGTGGCCATTTAGAAGGTGGAAATATTTTATAAATCTAACCGGGCAGGAGTTTCCTCTTAAGACAAATTCGGACCTTGTCAAAATCCTTACAGCTCTAAATGGCGCCAATGATGTCCATTCGACGTTGTCAGAGTAAGTTGACAGTCGTTTCATTGCAGTGCCTTAAATGAATACCAGTTAAAATCCTGGGAGGTAAAGGCGGTCGACGTAATGTTGACTACATGTGGTCTATTGATCTATATAAATATGAGTCTAGCCTCAAAACATGATGCGCCAGTGGCGTGTAAATGGACCTTTGCTTTAAAAAAAATATATAGGTTTGTTAAACTTTACATTGCAATCAAAAAATTTAAAAAAGATTCACGGTAGCATTGTTGTTAGTCCACTTACCTGCCAAGACAGTGGTCAGAATTCAGTCCCCATTAGATGAAGGCTATATTTCCGACGGCTGTAATGTTGACTCAACCGTGAAGAAATTGGCATGAAATTTTTGGGGAAAAGCTCAAGAAGGTAGGACGACGAGAAAAAAGAGCTGGCAATCCGCCATGTTTATCATCTATGTAAAGAAAAACACTGGGAGTTAGGAGGGGGAAGCTTAGCCCCTCTAACAAATTTTCTGGGCCTAAGGAAGACTAAGCCTTATTTAAATGCGTAATTACACACGCGGTGATCCTATCATGGGCATTCTTCAGAAAATAAACACAGCAGACAGCCTTCGCCCTCACCGAGTAGACTGCATTCGGAAGTTGCATGTAACCTCCGACATCTAGATCTACACCCCTGGGCATGCTAGAGTACAAGGTAATGAGCGAGATGGCAAGTATTGCACCCCCGCATGCCGGAGTACAAGGTAATGAGCGAGAGGGCAAGTATTGCACCCCCGCATGCCGGAGTACAAGGTAATGAGCGAGATGGCAAGCTAGCAAGTATTGCACCCCCGCATGCCGGAGTACAAGGTAATGAGCCAGATGGCAAGCTAGCAAGTATTGCACTACCGCATGCCGGAGTTCAAGGTAATGAGCGAGATGGCAAGTATTGCACCCCCGCATGCCGGAGTACAAGGTAATGAGCCAGATGGCAAGCTAGCAAGTATTGCACCCCCGCATGCCGGAGTACAAGGTAATGAGCGAGATAGCAAGCATTGCACCCCCGCATGCCGGAGTACAAGGTAATGAGCGAGATGGCAAGCTAGCAAGTATTGCACTACCGCATGCCGGAGTTCAAGGTAATGAGCCAGATGGCAAGCTAGCAAGTATTGCACTACCGCATGCCGGAGTTCAAGGTAATGAGCGAGATGGCAAGTATTCCACCCCCGCATGCCGGAGTACAAGGTAATGAGCCAGATGGCAAGCTAGCAAGTATTGCACTACCGGATGCCTGAGTTCAAGGTAATGAGCGAGATGGCAAGTATTGCACCCCCGCATGCCGGAGTACAAGGTAATGAACGAGATGGCAAGCTAGCAAGTATTGTACCCCCGCATGCCGGAGTACAAGGTAATAAGCCAGATGGCAAGCTAGCAAGTATTGCACTACCGCATGTCAGAGTTCAAGGTAATGAGCCAGATGGCAAGTATTGCACCCCCGCATGCCGGAGTACAAGGTAATGAGCCAGATGGCAAGCTAGCAAGTATTGCACCACCGCATGCCCGAGTACAAGGTAATGAGCGAGATGGCAAGCTAGCAAGTATTGCACCACCGCATGCCCGAGTACAAGGTAATGAGCGAGATGGCAAGCTAGCAAGTATTGCACCCCCGCATGCCGGAGTACAAGGTAATAAGCGAGATGGCAAGCTAGCAAGTATTGCACCCCCGCATGCCGGAGTACAAGGTAATGAGCCAGATGGCAAGCTAGCAAGTATTGCACTACCGCATGCCGGAGTTCAAGGTAATGAGCGAGATGGCAAGTATTGCACCCCCGCATGCCGGAGTACAAGGTAATGAGCGAGATGGCAAGCTAGCAAGCATTGCACTACCGCATGCCGGAGTTCAAGGTAAGGAGCGAGATGGCCAACTAGCAAGTATTGCACTACCGCATGCCGGAGTTCAAGGTAATGAGCGAGATGGCCAACTAGCAAGTATTGCACTACCGCATGCCGGAGTTCAAGGTAATGAGCGAGATGGCCAACTAGCAAGTATTGCACTACCGCATGCCGGAGTTCAAGGTAAGGAGCGAGATGGCCAACTAGCAAGTATTGCACTACCGCATGCCGGAGTTCAAGGTAATGAGCCAGATGGCAAGTATTGCACTACCGCATGCCGGAGTACAAGGTAATGAGCCAGATGGCAAGCTAGCAAGTATTGCACTACCGCATGCCGGAGTTCAAGGTAATGAGCGAGATGGCAAGTATTGCACCACCGCATGCCGGAGTACAAGGTAAGGAGCGAGATGACAAGCTAGCAAGTATTGCACCACCGCATGCCGGAGTACAAAGTAATGAGCGAGATGGCAAGCTAGCAAGTGTTATTGAACTTCAGCATGCAGGAAGATTCATGGGATAGCATGTAGTATCAACAATATACTGTCTAGACTGACAGGTAGTAACCAGTCTTTGACGCCAACAATATTGCATTACTTTGGAGAGAAGTCTGGTAAAGGTGTCTTCTGTGTCAAGGTAAGAGACCTAATTAATTCCTCACTGGAACAGTCATTATGAGTATCATGGGAAAAGGGGGGGGGGGTGGTTAAGGTGCTGCATCGTAGGACATTTTTCTTCTTCTTCGTTCGCCGGCTGTAAGCTCCAGCAGAAAGTCCTTGTTGTTCGTCCATTTAGATTTTAGCTTATGCCAGGGCCTGAGTTATGCATGTACGTAAGTTTTTTCTGGCTTATTTGTATGCAATTGGTTGTTTCTTACCACTCAGGCAGAAGTACTCCGACTTCGAAAGAAAGCCCTTAATTAGTCGACTACTACGACAGGCTTGTTGCAGAGACAGTGGGTCTCTTCTTGTTTCCCCCCAACAGTGAGACCCGGAACCCACACGGTGAATTTTATTTCAATATATATATATATGCTTTTGAAAAAAAATGCACGGTTGTCTCCCGCTGCCGTGCACGCGTAAATTCCTTATACACATGTGATAGGACATTTGATAGAAATAAAAGTGCGGCTGACCGAACGGTTAGGACGCTAGGCTCTTATGCTGGAGACCAGAGTTCGACTTCTTTTCCGTCGGGGGCAAAATAAATCCTCACCTGCACAGTCGTGTGCGACAGCACTAGCCATTCGGGCCTAAACCCTCAGGCTCAAAGACCCCTCCCCCCCCCTCTCACCCCTTCCCACCACCCCACTGCCTACACCGCAAGAATGGAAATGGACGCCAGGCGCGTCGAGGCACATTTTTTGCTTCTGCCAGACGGTGGCCGCTGCATTTTTGATCCATTTGTAGTCTGAAAGGATACAGTTTCGTCGCGCCAGCTACTGAGTTGAATGCATGGCGCGACCCTGTGAGCTGCGGATTTCATTTGGAATGTTTTTCGACTGTGACCAACGTTGTGTTGTGAACTGTAGATTCAGAAAATGGCGCGTCAACTGTCGCCGCAATGTTGGTGGTGTCCTTATGTGATTAGGATAGGAATAAACTCACAGGGAGCAAGTACAGCAGGGATCTACCAGTCGTCAGTAGAAATTATCCTCGTCGACACGCGTTTCGGCCCACTATTCCTAGACGCATTCGGAGGTGGGCCCTCCTGAGTTCATGAAGCTCAGGGCTGGTTCCCTGCTGCACGGAATTACCGGATGGTGTTATTTTTCGGCCAGAGACAAGACGACTTGGTGGTTTCGAAGGAGGTACTGTGAGATAAGAAGCCGCCACGGCAACCTAATTAAAGCAGTCAGCATGCCTGGACGACCGAGCGACAAGCTTACTTTGGTTTACCGGACACATGTTGGACTTTTATTAGCAGTTGGCAGAGGAACACTGGCAGACAATTCGGACACGATGGACTTTCAAAGGGGTGAGAAACCCCTTTCCACTAGACACCCGGACCAGCTCACCGAGGCCCGTCCCCTACGTTGTTGCGCTGCGTCCAAAGCCAGCTAGAGGCCCTTTCGGCCACCAATAATAATAATATTGATCGCGTGCTCAACTGCTGATCTGTTGGCGACTTCTGCTATCGTCGATGACGAACTGCATTTCTAATGTCAAACTGTTTGTGTTAGCACTTCTGATGTCTACCATTTGCTTTTAATGCGTGTCTATGCTAGTGCATATGCTGAGACAGCAGTCTGTCAATCTTTCCACAAGGGACTGCGACGAATATTCTGTGTGTTTTTCGTTGGCACGAGAGCGGAGCAACTATGGGGTGACTTGTTTGCTATGAAACTAAGATACCAAGATTACCAAGACTACCTACACCACAAAATTAGTATATAAATGCAGTAATTGGCAGTTAATAGAAATAGCCACCACAAGTAGTGTGATTAGATCATTGCTTTCAGCCTACGTTAAATAAATTACTGCATTTGTTGAAAGTATACGCCACTGAATTAACATATTGAGGGTTTATTTGATTAGTGTCCACGTTTTAGTGATATGTGTAATGTCCTTTTCTAGGACTTACAAGGAGCGATGGCGGTATCGATTTCACACACCCCCGACTTGGTTTATGCCCGTCAAGGGATCGGTACACGTGACCATCAGCCGAGATTTTGCTGACTACGTTCTACACAATGACACTGCCGCAGAGGTTCTCAAGTGGGTCAAACAACTGGACTATTTCCAAGACGAGGCTTTCTTTTCCACGCTGAATCATAACCCACAGTTTGGGATTCCTGGATCATACAAAGGTCCGAAGTCGTATGTTAGAATATAGCTTTTGTGTGTTACCTCAGCCATAAATCACAACTGGATTACCTGGATCAAACGAACATCTAAAACACTATACTCTTATGTGTCTATGCATAGTCAGTTCTATGTTATTATATGTTACATAAAACACAGTCTGCAGCCAGACCATACGCAATTATGGAGTCAAATACTGTCAGTTATTGGTGACTGTATTTTAGCTCGGCTAAACCCACAGCTTGAGATTCCTAGATCGCACAAATGACTGTAATCATATGTTCCCATAGGCTTAGACACCCAGTCCAGTATGGTGGTTAGGTTGACTTACGGTTTTTAGTTTTTTCAAGTTATTTATTTTATAGCTAGAAGTGTAGTTTTAGAAGTGTAAGAAAAACTCCACATGGGAGCAATCGCAGCAGGAGCATCTACGATCATCAGTAGGATGGTCCCTCGTCTCAGATTGTTTCGGCCTCATGTCGCATCCCATGTCAGTATTTGTGACAAGGCGCTGTCGATGCCGACCCACTGACCTTGCTGCAACTGCTGCGTGAGTTTTTTGACACGAGACTCGTTTTTGGCGTCCCTTATTAGCTTTATTGTCGGCTCTGTGGCTAAGTCGATGCGAACGCTTCGCTTCGTAATGCCGGGATGCCAGGTTCGATCCCAGCTGCGGGCAATGCGCCTTACGTTGGTTTCGACAGTGGTATCAAGAAAGCCGACCGTCCAGAAAGCAATGGCAAACTACTGGATGTAACTTGCCTAGAGAAACCACACAACAGCCAGGGGCTGTTAGGGTTGGTTCTGCAACGTCCTGAAAAGGATACGCAACTAACTTTATTAGCTTTATTACCATGCCTCTACGCTAAGCTGTGATTAAACGTTGAGCTTGCCCCCCCCCCCCCATTTTCCCCTCAAGTGGACTGAAAGTATACAGTTCCGTCGCCTAGCCACCTAGCCTGGCGCGACACTGATTTTTTTCTGGAGTGCTTATAAACTCTGCCCAGCGAGGTTTGCGTTGTGAACTGGAGATTCAGAAACTGACCAGTGGCCCGTTGCCACAAAACTGGCGGTACCTTGTGCGATCAATTGCGTGTGCAACTACTGACTTGTTGTAACTGCTGCGTACACCGAAGGTTAACAGCAGTTCTGTACCAGATTGTTTGTGTTGGCAATTCTGATTAGTTAATTTAATGTGATTGCCATTGTTTTTAGAAGCGACAGTGATTGACATTCTGAGTGGATTTGGCACAGGAATGGAGCAACTATCGGCTGACCTGTTTGCTGCGCAGCCGGAACTGCAATTAACTGACTTCATGATTACCCATATGTTAAACTACAGTCATATGGGAATAATTATATGCTACCTGAACCAAGCCCCGCGACTCTACCATTCTGATGTCTTGGTCACACGCCATTATCTGAGATTTATTACTTAGATCATACCAAAATCTTCAATCGTGTTCGGCCATATATCAGGATAAACTAAGCGGTGTGCGATTTTATGTCATCTGGGTTTGACAAGTCAGTTGACATGTGAAAATGTATTCCTATTTATACAGAAGAAACGCACGGTGAGTTGACTACTGGTATACAATATGTTCGGACAGTCAAAATGGTCGCTAGGCGGTCCACTGTTTGAAGCCGAGGCAAATTCTTTGCTTCTGCCGGAGCTGGCCGATGCATTTTTGTTCCATTTGTAGACTGCATATAGTTTCGTCGCCCAGCTTCTGAGTTGAATGCATGGCGTGACACTGTGAGCTTTGGATTTCATTTGGAATGTTTTTTCGACTGTGACCAACGTGATGGTGTGAATTGTAGATTCAGAAAATGGCGCTATGACTGTCGTCGCAATTTTGGTGGTGCCCGTATGTGATAAAAATTGATCGCGTGGGCAACTGCAGATCTGTTGGTGACTTCTGCTACCATCAATGATGAACTGCATTTCTAATGTCGGACTGTTTGTGTTAGCACTTCGAATGGCTACCGTATGCTTTAATGCAAGTGTATGCTAGATATGCTGAGACAGCAGTCTATCAATCTTTCCACAAGGGACTGTGATAAACATTCTGTGTGTTTTTCGTTGGTACAGGAGCAGAGCAAAAATGGGGTTACCCGTTTGCTATGAAGTTGAAACTAAGACTACCAGACTATACACTATGTTAAACACATGCTTCGATTCTGTTGTAGGCCATGCAGAACAACATCCTATCAAGAAGCCGTTCCTCAGTAGGTACAAAATCTGGAACACGACTGACGACTATTTCTGCTACGCCAACAGATGGGTGAGGTACATCTGTATTCTGACTACAGGTAGATATCTCCACAATGTAAAATGATTATATATATATATATATATATATATATATATATATATATATATATATATATATATATATATATATACATGTGTGTGTGTGTGATTTGTTTGTGTTTATGTGTGTGTGTGAATTGTAAGGCCTTGACGCATTTTAATCATCGACATATGAAGTATGTGACACGTTTCCTTTTCTGGACGACCACAGGGCTCTGCAATTTCACCTATTCTCTTCACGCACTATTGCAGAACTAAAAGTTTCAGATGTTGGTAGCATACTGAGGTTTGCAGACGATGTTCTTCCATATAGTTATGGGGTTGACATATGTTCAAGAGGTAACGGCAGACAAAGCGACTGACTGTGGAGATGGGTGCTGTCAGCAACCACGACAAGGCAGCTGTTTTATGCTGTTTTCTGGATTGTCAAAGCTGATGTTACAAGCATCAGAGTTAATGACATCAAAAGAGAAAACAACCTTGCGTTTAACTTTGTATAGACGAGTGTCCTTCAAGGACCTTGTAGAGGCTGGTGCCGAAGATGCCAGTAAAAAGAACAATGTACTCAAGATTATGGCAGCAATGCACTTGGAACAAAGAAGGCTGTTTACAACGTTCCAGCACTTGACTGTCTCGTTGATTGATTATGGAAATGGAATGCTCACCGTATCAAATAGTCAACTGATGCGAAAGTCAAAGACAATTAAACATACCACTCAGCTTCGATTATTTAACTCTAATGTTATACCAGTACTGCTGCATGGATTAAAAAACTGACTAAAACAAATTTATGGAATAGCTCGCAGCACCAAGACGCACCAAGGTGGCGGGACGCTTTTTCGTCTGTTAGGACGAAGAGTGTCCTTTTACACGTTTTTTTTTTTTGCGGTTGATGTGAGATTCTAAGCAGAGCAGGGGTTCTGGACCATGGAGTACGTGCACGAGTGTCCCATCTCCTATCGGCGTTTTTGTCAGCGTCATGTGGTGTAAGTTCAAACATGGCCAACAGACGACAGGGACAAAAAGCGGCAAGCGTGCTGAGAATAAGCTTGAGAATTCAACATGTATATAGTTACGCACAATATGGTATGTGGGTGTTGTTGGCAATAAAACAGCCGGCAGATTAGCCGGCCAATGCAGAGACTGGTAATGCTATTAGAGAGGTAGGACGATCGGAGGAATTTGGGAACAGCACATCCACATCTTTGCTAGGAGTGCAAGAGCTGGAAGTAAAGATCGGCACAACCAGGCACTGAAGCACACCGGACGCACGAGAAGTCTTGTCAACCAACATAGGACTGGGACTATCAACCACGGGGAATCTGAGCACCCATGGACATGTCTAGAGTGCCGTGAAGACAACCCAAATCATAACTCATATGAAAGCGTGGAATCTTGTCTTTTAATCTATTTCAACTTTACTTAGGGAAGGAGCTACAAGGGAGCTACAATATGTGAAGAATAGGAGGGTTTGGCGTGAATCGGTTGAAGGTCTAATCATAACCGGGAGATGAGACAGAAGAAGAAGAAGAAGAAGAAGAAGAAGAAGAAGAAGAAGAAGAAGATGAGGAGAAAAAGAAGAAGAAGAAGAAATAGAAGAAGAAGAAGAAGAAGAAGAAGAAGAAGAGTAGAAGAAGAAGAAGAAAATAATAGTATTAGTAGTAGCAGCAGCAATAGTAGTAGCAGTTGTAATGTTGTTGTTGTTGTTGTTATTGTTGTAATAGTAGTAGTAGTAGTAGTTATAGTAGTATTAGTAGTTATAGTAGTAGTAGTAGTTATAGTAGAAGTAGTAGTAGTAGTAGTAGTAGTAGTAGTAGTAGTAGTAGTAGTAGTAGTAGTAGTAGTAGTAGTAGTAGTAGTAGTAGTAGTAGTAGTAGGATTGTGTCTTGTTTTTGTCTATGTGTGCAATATATATATATATATATATATATATATATATATATATATATATATATATATATATATATATATATATCATCATCATCATCAGGTGCCCTGCCGACTGGCGTGGGCGATCATGCCTCTCCATAATCTGCGATCTCATGCAGCATGTATCAGTTCGGATGCCGACACACCTCCATGCCATGCAACAAGACTGTCAAGCATCTTCTCTCGTTGTCTTCCTCTATCCCTTTTTCCACAGATCTTTCCAGTGGTCACAACATATTATATTTTCTCTCTTCTCATAACATGGCCGAAAAATGATGACTGTCTCCTTCTGATGTCTGTGATAAGTTGTCTTCGGGCTCCCGCCTCTTTCAAAACCTCTTGGTTGCTCTTTTTGGCTGTCCAAGGTATTCTAAGCATTCTTCTGTAAAACCACATCTCTGAGGCCTCTAAAAATTGTTTGGCCTGCCTACCGATTGTCCAGGATTCACATCCATATGTTAAAACTGGATGTATATAGCAAGCCAGAATTCTTTTTCTAACTCTCAATGACAAGGATATATTGCACAAGATGTTTTTCATTTGATAAATAGCAGTTTTTGCCTGTCCAATTCTGTTTCTTATTTCAGTTATGCATCTTCCATCTGATGTTACCCATGTGCCCAGATACTTAAATTTCTGTACTTGTCCTAAAATAACACCATTGACTTTTATTACACATTTAGGAATAATTTGTTTCTTTGATACCACCATTACTTCTGTCTTCCCATTATTCAAACTGAGGCCCATTCTTCCACTTTCTAACACCACAATGTCTATCATTTCCTGTAATTCTTTCTGACTTGTTGCCATCAAGACTGTGTCATCAGCATAACGTAAATTGTTTATATTGTGCCCACCAACCAAAATTCCGGGCATATCAATTAAAGATCTCACTGTATAATGAAAACAAATCAGGTGACAGTACACCCCTCTTTATGCTTTGAAATGTACCTAAACAGTTGTTTATTCTTATAGCTGCTGTTTGCTGCCAATACATATTCTTTATTATTCGTAGATCTTTCCCATCAATGTTTAATTTTTCTAACAGGTTGATTACTTCTTCATGCTTCACACAGTCAAATGCTTTTGTATAGTCTATGAAACATAAGTACAAATCAGTCTTTACTTCTATAGCTCTTTCTGACAATGTCCTTAGGATGTAAATGGCATTGTTTGTACCTTTTCCTTCTAAAAATCCACATTGTTCATCGCTAATTTCCGGTTTAATTTTGTTTCTTATTCTTCTCATAATTATTCTCAGTAAAATCTTAGTCATGTGACTCATAAGACTTATTGTGCGATGGTCTTCACATTTTAAAGTGCCTGGTTTCTTTGGCAGAGCTATAAATACGGATTTTAAAAGGTCATGTGGAATATACCCACTATTATAAATATCATTTAAAAGTTTAGTTATTATTTCAATTCCAAAATCTCCCAGTGCTTCGATTTCTTCCAGTGAGATGTTGTCTGGCCCGGGTGATTTTCCTTTCTTTATATGATGTATTGCGTCCTCAACTTCTGCAGTCATTATTGGTGGACCATCATTGTTGGTCTGCAGTTCTACATCTGGTCTATTATCATCATACAATTCCCCTATATACTCTGTCCATCTGTTAATTATATTACTATGTCCCATTAATAAGTCACCATCTTTTGATTTCAAACATCCAGTGCTGTTACGTGTCATCTTTGCTGTTAACATATTTATCTGTTGGTACATGAAATGTGAGTCTTTCCTGTGATTTTCCCCAATCTCTGTACACATTTGATTCAGCCAGGCTTCTTTAGTCACTTTGCATTTGTTCACTATTTCTTTTTGTATTCTAGAGTATTCTTCTTTATCATTCTTTTTCTTCCCTCTTTCATCCATCAACTGCAGAATTTCGGTTGACAACCATTTCTTTTTTGCAACTCTATGGGTTGGTGGGATTGTCTCTTTTGATGTCTGCTGAATTGACTCACGCAACATATCCCACTGTTCATCAATAGTCTGTATAATTTCCATTGCATTATACCGGTTTTGTACAGTGACATTGTACTGTTCCTTAATTTCTTTATCCGTTCTAAGAATTCCTAAATTTAACTTGATGTTCTGTGGTGTTTTTCTAATGTCCTTTAGTTTATATATATATATATATATATATATATATATATATATATATATATATATATATATATATATATATATATATATATATATATATATATATATATATATATATATAAACATTGGAGATTGTATACTGGTGACTAACAATAATGACTGGTTGTGGCACAACAGGCGATCTGCCCATAATGGTGAGAAGTGTTCAGCTGTTCGCCAACAAGTTTTTCCTCAGTGAAGATCGACTAGTCATCAGTTGCCTTGAAGAGTGGCTCTACAACAGCACCAGAGACAACTTTCTGAAAACTCGACATTTAGATGTCTCCTATTATCATAATTTAGATATTGTGTTAAACCAAATAAAAGCTACATGACGACTGTGATCAGGAAACGTGCAGTCATTGTCATACATGTAAAACAGTTATCCTGTGTGGTTCTAGTGTCCATGTTGGTCGACCCTTAAGAATGGATCTGACGCGACTCCTACAGTAATCACAGGGGCTTGCAATTTCAAAAACGACAATCTCATACTTATTTCTGGCAGCAGTATTGATTCATTGGCGGTTTGCCACTTCTTCTGCTCTAGCTTTTCAGCGTCCGGGTTTGAAGAGGGCATCAGGAGTGAGCCTTGGTGAAGATGAGAGCGGGGCATAGATGGAAATTCCCCAGTGTTGTGACACCCGTGACACTTAACTCCTTGTTTATCATACAGCTGATACAGTCATATACATATACACCATGGAGGAACAATGCCATGTATGTTTTTATTTTATTTTCCCACCACAATCAAGGCAGTCATGTTTATATGGGTAGGTAAGAGCTAGACCTTATTTAGAATTCAAAACAGTGAGATTATACCAATGTGATCAAATGAAAACTGTCCCAAATGGCTTTATTTACAAAAGTCTGACAATTAAATTAGCAGGTTATAATAGGGTTAAACAAAACGACTATTAGAAAGCAAACAAGCACCTGCTCGAGGCAATATGTTTATTTATAGATGCATCACGCTACTTTAAGAAAGACTGAAAAGGCTTGGCAACCTTATGAGAAAAAAAATCCCACAATACCTACAGAGACAGCGAACAACAAGAACACAGAAACACCAAGCGGAAGAGGCAAACCTAGATGAAAAAAGATTGTACCTGTCACTGACAGCCTGAGACATCACGATATCACAGTAAAACAAGTAACCGAGCACGCCCTGGATCGGTTACATATTATCTTTTGTCCAGGGTCGTATAGCAACATAAAGCAGATACTGACAAAAGAATGAACCAGTGGCTGCTTGGAGAGAAGGCGGATACGGTCAGCGATGAATTGATCTGCTCACTGAACCATCTAAGGACGGCTTTCTTGATATCTGTGCCGTTGCATGATCCTTGACTCTTTAGCCCTCTTCAAGAGCTCGATAAATGAGAGGCACATGCCGACAGATCGACACGTGTCAGTTGCGAGTGTGAAAACTTATTTCCAACCGCTGCCAGGCTAACTCTTCTTGCACTATGCAGCAATGTTAGCACGGCATTTGCCGTGTTTTCGAGCAGTGGAATGCGTGTCTAAAGACATATGGCGTTGATTCTGAGCCAGTACTTATGGGCTTCCTAATTTTGCCAATCCCCTGGTATACCGTTCATTATTGTATAATAAAACCACTAAAGCGGGTTTCATTTGATGACGACTGGTATTTCATACGTCAGCTCCCCTCTACGGTAATGAAAACTCGGTTGTCTGTTCTGTTTTAAGACAGCTGTACCATGACTTCCATTCTTCTTCTCCTCCTCTTCACCCACTTACCTTATCGAAACGTAAAAGGGACTGGGGGATTGAGGATGTTAGGATCTTCTGTGTGCACGTTCTAATGCCTTGTACAAGCTGATGCTCAGGTATTTGAAGCTGTTTTTGATGCCGCCTGTCTATGTTCTGTGTGGTCTTCCCCTCGCTGTATGTTCATTACATTTCTTTTGCATGGCATTTTATGGCAGATAGTGCCACGGCATTGACTCATTTGACCAATGGCTGCCATTTATTTAATTCTTATTTTAATTACTGTAATACAATAAGACAATTTCGCAATTCATTTTTTGAATAAATTCTTTGACGTATTTCTTCTTCTTCTTTTTGTTCTTGTTCTCGTTCTCGTTCTTCTTCTTCTACTTCTTCTTTTTCTTCTTCTTCTTCTTCTTCTTCTTTTTCTTTTCCTTCTTCTTCTTCATCATCTTCTTCTTCATCTTCTTCTTCTTCTTCTTCTTCTTCTTCTTCTTCTTCTTCTTCTTCTTCTTCTTCTTCTTCTTCTTCTTCTTCTTCTTTTTCTTCTTCTTCTTCTTCTTCTTTTTTTTTTCTTCTTCCTCTTCTTCCTTGTCGTTTTCGCGTCACCGACTATAAACTCCTGCCGTAAGTTCCGGTTGTTCGTCCATTTTTGGACTTGAGTCGTGTTCCAGAACCTGAATTGTGCGTGCACATCCCGAAAATAATGAAGGCAACGGAATATCACCCTGGAAATATCCACATTTAATTAATTCAGCAACATGCTTTACTATAAAGGCTACAACGCATTCAAATTAGAGCATTACAGTTAAGGTTATAACAAATAAAACTGTAACATTACAATAAGGACTATAGCACAAACTAGAACATTAGAGAAAAATCGGAAACGCAAGCAAATGAGAACATTTCAGTAAAGTCTGTAACCATACACTGGACAATACAGTAAAGACGTCAACACGGACACATCATTGGTTACACAAATAGGTTCTATCCCAATATCTCACCCCAAACAGACGGTCGAATATTTTAGGGGTGGTAGATAGGCTGCGTGCAGTTGTGGGACCTAGGCTGCACTCCCTCGTGGGAAGTCGGCTGGTTGGGGTTAGGCTGTCCTAGATGTTTTGGTGTAGTTAAAAACACAAGAAAGCCGGGAAACCCGCTCTTACCACCCTCGAAAATATTAGACTGGCCTGTGACGTCATCCTGGGAGGGGAAGATACTGGGAAAGCACCCTAAAATAGAATCGCCCCAGGGAATTGTAACGCGCAAATATTACATGACGCATGTAAATATAATCATTGACATTATTTTGTATTATGCATGTATGCAGTTTTTCCCCTTCAGGTTGGGATCTGCAGGTTTAACACCCCAAGGATGAGAAGCAAGCGGGTACACAAATCCACGATACCCAGTTCAGCCATGACAGTGATACTGACTGACTGACTTTCTACCCCACCAGGACATCACACAAGCGATAAACACCCGATGACACAAAGTGCCACCATGTGGATGAGGATCACATTGGAGAGGTCCCAGAAACCGCGTTCAGACAATTGGCTACATTTATGGCCTGCCTATTTTGCGGCCCCTGGCAAAAGCCAGGGTGGGGCTTCAAATAACAAAAAATTACGTCATAAAAAGGACGTAAGGATACGATATATGATGACAGTGATACTGGGACCTCTGACGATTACACAGTAACCCGAAGTCCCGATTGAGCAGGAAATGAATAATGTAAATTATTTTCTTCCCTACATTTTAATAACTGAATATAAAATGTTAAATGGGTAGATAGGGGTAATAATCACATTAGCTAAATCATACCGGGGGAGCTTCAGCTCTACTGCGCCATATAGATGACTGGTTTTCTTCTACAAGACACAGCTTGTCGTAGATTCGGGTAACCATAATATCAACATTTGCCATTTTCTCTTCTAGAGAAACCTGCTTCATTTTTATAGTGTTCACTACCCGGGTCATCTCCCCTTGTGTCTTACTGACTTCCACTAGCGTCACAGACTTGTCACTTAGTCGGCGCCGACGGTTCTTCAGCTCTCGTATATTGTAGATTGCATGCAGAAGTTTCGTCTGAAGCTGCAGGACCATCTTCTCTTCTGCTTTGGTCATTGTTTGAATGCGATGACACTTGTATAACTTCCACCCGCATTTGACTATGTTCGCCGCCTCTACTTTCAGCCGTTTACCGATCTCGATTTCCAGAACAAAGTCGTGCACATATTTCTCCGCCTGAGAGAGCTCCAGTTTTCTGGCAAGTACTGCAACTACTAAGGCCGTACATCCGGTACCCATAATGCCTGTGATGACAGCGATACTTCGACCGCAGTAGGAGTTTGGTACTATGTCGCCATAACCTACAGTCAGGAATGTGATGGCGATCAGCCACATGGAATTCAAGAAGTTTCCATGAACGTTGGCGTGACGTGCGTCGTTATACATCTCACACAGCCTCAGAGTCCAGCTAGTAATGATAAACAAGGAAATCATAAACACGCACAGGAAGTAATCAGGGTACAGTGCCATAAACGACTTGAAGATAAATCGAAAGTTAAAATGGATTCGATTAAGCGCCCCTAAGCTCTGACAGGACGCGTCCTGGTACAGTCGACTGTGCAGCACCAGGAACCGACATACAAGGTAGAGTCTGAGAAACATGGGGAGCGACAGGACCACGTCTAGAGGTACGCGAACTGGCTCGGACTGGTCTCCGTCGGAATCAGTAGTGTACCAGGACACGTAGAATTCACCTGGGATGGGATGAACCATACAGATGAGCATTTCTGCCACTGCCGCCAGGATGCGCTGGTAGTTGATGGCCAGCCGCCAGTTGTCCATGCTGTTGTTAACAGTGAACAGTTGGACTCCCAGTCTGTGATAGATGAAGATAAACACGAGGAGAGAGACCGTGGAGGCCGTGATGCACAGTTTCAGTAGAACTGACGTTACGTCCGTGCGGCTTATAATGTGAGCTGCAGACAGTTCCGTCTCGATCACCATCAACAGAATTCCTGCAACAGAAAGTGCAACAATTAGAATTCATTTTACAGTTCTTGCACTAACTGCTAATGTTACAGTTAGAGTTTTGTAGTAGCACTGATACATTTATAACACGATGGAAGTAAGTGATACATTTAGTGTATTTTAAGAGTTAGTGTTGTTTCATATAATTGTAACTGAAAGTGAAAACAAGAGTCTTAGTTTTAACAGTAAGAAAAAAGAAGTAATGGTATTACGAAGAAAACTAACCCTCCAAAATGCAACATGTAAATGAGACACACCTCAAGCAAGCTGATATGTTTAAGTACTTGGGTACCATAATAACATCATATGGAAAATGTATTAAAGAAGTTAAATGTAAAAAGCTCAAGTAAAGGCGTTTTTTTTTTTACAAAATGAAGAGTCTTATACGTAATCTTTCTTTGTCAACTGAGACGATAAAGGGAATTCTTAAAAGAAAGATAAATCCTATATTGATATATGGAAGCAAATCATGGACAATTGGTTGATAAGTGAAACAATTATTTGGAAGCTGCTGAGATGTGGTTTTAAAGACGCATGATGAAAATACCCTGGTGGGGTGACGTGAGCAACGTTTAAAAAAATGTGATGTGGAATAAATGAAAAAATAAAATAAAATAAACGATGGCTAAAAAAATATAGTCGCCAAAAAAAAAAAAAAAAAATAATAATATTGCTCACGTTGCTCACGTCACCCCTTAGAGATCTGTACAATCTTCTCCCTTCGTTGTTACTTTTGTGTAGTTCACTTCATGTTTGACAAAGGCTGCTCGGCCGAAACGTTACGTTATTTGTGTTGTTTTGTGCCCGTTTTTCTGCTTCCCCATTTAGTTAAGCTTTTTAGTCAAATTTCCCTGGAATTCCTTGTATTAGCATGACTGCAGTTACCCCCATATTTTCACCATTTTGTAGGAGTCTTTGATACAGTTACTGTTCTCTAGGAGTTATTGATATATTTAGTGTACTCAAAAATAATTTTGGCCCCTAAGTCGATTCAGCCCCATCGGGCACCAAATAAAATTCATGCGAAGTCAAGGCGGTTGGTGTAATGTTGACTATCTCATCTACTGACTGCCGAATGGTCTATAAAATATTGGACTTACCCTATATGCCCAATTCGCATGGCGGCGTAGAAAAGTCTTCTTTACTGAACTAAGTCATCATCATCACGTGTCATGACGATACGGAAGAGGTGTTGGTGACTATTTCCAACGATCCCCGGAATCAGTGTCAAGTCAGTGCTCTTAACCCGGTGATGTCATGTGGATAACATTTCCAGTCACTTGTTTCTTTGACTTTCCACGTAAATAACATTTCCAGTTACTTGTTTCTTTGACTTTCCACGTTAATAACCTTTCCAGTTACTTGTCTCTTTGACTTTACATGTGGATAACATTTCCAGTTACTTGTCTCTTTGACTTTCCATGTGGATAACATTTCCAGTTACTTGTCTCTTTGTCTTTCCATGTGGATAACATTTCCAGTTACTTGTCTCTTTGATTTTCCATGTGGATAACATTTCCAGTTACTTGTCTCTTAGACTTTCCATGTGGATAACATTTCCAGTTACTTGTCTCTTTGACTTTCCATGTGGATAACATTTCCAGTTACTTGTCTCTTTGACTTTCCATGTGGATAACATTTCCAGTTACTTGTCTCTTTGACTTTCCATGTGAATAACATTTCCAGTTACTTGTCTCTTTGACTTTCCGTGTGGATAACATTTCCAGTTACTTGTTTCTTTGACTTTTCATGTGGATAACATTTCCAGTTACTTGTTTCTTTGACTTTCCATGTGAATAACATTTCCAGTTACTTGTCTCTTTGACTTTCCATGTGAATAACATTTCCAGTTACTTGTCTCTTTGACTTTTCATGTGGATAACATTTCCAGTTACTTGTTTCTTTGACTTTTCATGTGGATAACATTTCCAGTTACTTGTTTCTTTGACTTTCCATGTGGATAACAATTCCAGTTACTTGTTTCGTTGACTTTCCATGCCAAAGACTGTGCAGGCTAGGATTATTTGTTTTGTTTCTTTCTTTATTTTACTGTTGCCCCGGAGAAGAATATCCTTCACACCTAGCCCGAGAGACCAGCTCTCTAACTACTAGGCTCATCATCACGTAGCAGGTCCTTTGAAGAACGTCGCTCTCATCACGGTCTGTCTGAAAGAACCTCGGCCTCTCACCTCATATACTTTCATACTCAAGGAATCACTTATAGCCTGTGCCCATCTTTGCGTTGGTTTGCCCCTGCCTCTCTTTCCTGGTATCATGCATTCTGCTATATTTTTTTCCAATTCGTCGTGGCGCTTTATATTGCAAAAATATTTCAGCTTCCGAGACAGGAAGCTGTTTATTAGCCAATCTTCCTTGATGTTCAGATCTTTCAAGATGTCAGTATTTCTCCTCTTCTTTGTCCAATATATTCTGATAATTTTTATATAGCATTTCAGCCCAAAAGTCACTATTCTCTTTCTTAAGGACTTGGAGGTAGTCCACGACTCACATCCGTATGTTGCTACAGGAAAGATGGATGCTCTAAAACTTCTAATTTTGATTTTCTTGCTGCTGCTTAACCATAGACTTTTTATGCTGTTTAATCTAACTACTAGGCTAGTCGCTCCATAATACATAAAATGACATGCAATATATATATATATATATATATATATATATATATATATATATATATATATATATATATATATATATATATGAGGACATATACAAACATTGTTGTAAATATTCGTTATAGAAAAAAAAAAATAAGGCAATCTGAAGGCACGTGTTTATAGGAAAACAACAACAGCGAAAACATGATAAGAAGGTGGTCACCTAGCAACGCCAAGATCAGCGACACGTCACATGTCTTCTTCCTTTTGGCATAGAGTTCCTTCCTGAGCGCCAGGCGCATGCCGACGTTTTCGAATCTCTTGAAGGCGCTGTTGTCGCTGTCCATTCTACTGGTAGAACGCAGTGTGTACAGGTGACCATTGTCCGGCCGGCCCCGTCCGCAACGTTTACCGTTCATACCCACTAGTGGGATGGCTGGGTCTTCGATCAGACTGCTCATGCTCTGTCCGCTAACATGGTCTCTGTGGAGTACAATGTCAGGAAATGTTTAACGTGCTTTCCACAGAATAAATTATAGAAACATGTTTAGAATGCTAAATGTGGGATATACTATAGGCGAAAGTTTAGCATAGTGTCTCTGTGACATACACTATAAGATGATGTTTAGCATGGTTTATGTAGAGAGTAATGTTCTCACCAGAAACTTAAACAATAAAGAGCATCCAATGACAGAAAAAAAAAAAAGAATGTTTTGAATGGTTTATGTAAAAACGAAAGCATTGTCAGTAATGCCATTGTTGCCAACACTACAGGCGAATGTCTAAAGTGGCTTTTGTAGAACACATTATCAGAAAATGTTTAAAGTCGTTTCTGTAGAATGCACACCCCCATGTTTTTAAATTATTAGGCGGGTTAGCTTCAAGTGGCCTGAATTCCCAGGCCCCCGACGCTTTTGCTATATTAAACTTACTGTCAACTCTCTTCTATCGCTTGCTGTTTTCGTGACTATGAATCCATTTTCCTCTCCTTCCCTGCGAGCCCTGAGCAAATTCGTGCCCTACCAGTGGTGTTATTATCTTATTTGCCCAGTCAATCCCTACAACTCTCGCCTCGAGTCTTGTTCATTTTCTGCCAGTTAGGTTTCCATACTTTGGATAAATAATGTCGTTGGGGATCCTTAAATAATTCTAAACATAGTAAACTGGTCCCCTATCAGTTTTCTGCCGTTTTGGGTGTGCAGTATTAGACCTTCATACATGTTAAATGTTAAATTAGGAATCGACATCAAATCACTCGGGACACCCCCTCCCCATAAGCGCTCCGTCCCTATCTTCAGCAACAAACGAAGAGTTACAATTCCGATGGCACCAGTAACTGTCTGACTGTGTGTCCGTCTCGCCCCTCCCTTGAGTGTTAAGCGTTGGCCAGATCCCCTGGTAACTCATCGCAGCGCCATTCTCTCCTTAGACTGAAATGATCTATTTGCGCTTCCGCACTGTTCACTCGCTCACAGAGGGCACTTACTACGTCCAGCTTGTCCTACATCAGTTCACCACGAAGTGGTGCAGAACCGGCCAGTCTTTCTGTCTGCTCATTTCCCAACACACTGAGATAACCTGGAGAGAATATCCAGAGGATACTAACTACTCGGGACCTCTGAAGTGATAATTGCCACTCTGCACGGAGCATACCTGTCTCCACCTTTCTCAACATGCTATGTGACTCAGTGTCAGTCACCGTATGTGTTCATCTGATTCTCAAGCCAGCGGAAGGCAGCAGTGTCTGCCTCTACCTCCATTCTTAAACTAGACTTTGTGATATCATATGCCAGGCTTTTTTGCACTAAGCGACGTCCATTCGCCTTTGCTATAATCCCAGATGCACTTCGTCTGCCCGTCAACCCAGAACCATCTGTATAGATAATCACATAACATGGTCGTAAGTTGTCACGAATCATTTGTTGAACTTTTTGAACCCTTAAGAACCCTGCACAAGTCTGAAACTTGCTCGGACACTTTGACCCACTCCTCACCTCGCACAAATTTATCTTAAGCTTGATCCATCCAAGACCTGCATCTTTTCAGTCTGGTACCCTTAGATCTACCAAGGGTTTCATGCAAAAGAGGAGTCTTGCCTGCAGCTACTCTGAGAGATGACTTTGCTTGTAGAACTTTGAGCCTATCTGCAATAATAGGCAGTGGAAGTATATAACGCATACGTACAACTGGGGTATCTCTTGTACACCCCAGAATTACCCGCATGGCTTCATTTTGTATGTGTTCAAGTTTCATCAGCTGACTGTTTGATACAGTAAGCATTATAAGACCATAATCTGTCACCGACAGGATCATATGCTGGAACATTGTAAACAACATTCTTTGTTCCATGTCCATTGTTGCCTCAATCTTGAGAGCATTGCGTCATTTTCTGGCATTTCTCCACAACCGCCTCCACGTGATCCCTGTAGGACAGGCGTCTATCGAAGGCGATACCTAGGTACCTCAGTTTGCTATCTCTTTTGATGTTATTCCCATTAATTTTGAAGTTTGGAGCATTAGCTCTATTGTCCAGAGAGCACACCAAAAAAAAAAAAAAAAAAACAGTCGTCTTTTCTGAGTTTATGACAGCACCCATTTCTGCACACCAGTCAGTCACTTTGTCTACAGTTGCCTGGAGCTCTTTTGCTATCCATTGCCTATTACCACCCTGTCTATATGCAAGAACATCATCAGCAAATGTCAACACCCTTCCAACAATTCAAGTTCTGCAATCTTGCTTGTATACACATCAAAGAGCATCGTTGAAATTGCAGAACGAAAAAACGAAAAACACACATAATGTTTATCACAGTCCCTTGTGGAAAGATTGACAGACTGCTGTCTCAGCATATCTAGCATACACTCGCATTAAAGGATACGGTAGTCATTCGAAGTGCTAACACAAACCGTCCGACATTAGAAATGCAGTTCATCATTGATGGTAGCAGAATTCACCAACAGATCAGCAGTTGCCCACGCGATCAATTTTAATCACATACGGGCACCACCACCACTGCACGACCGGCATCGCGCCATTTTCTGAATCTACAATTCACACCACCACGTTGGTCACAGTAGAAAAAACATTTCAAATTAAATCCGCAGCTCACAGTGTCACGCCATGCATTTAAATTGCTGTCTACCGCCACCGCCGAGGGTATCTTCCATGCCGCTACGCGTGGCATGGATTGGGGCTAAACTAGACGGCTGGGACTCACAAGAAAATAAAATGAAGGCAGCTGCAGGAGATGGGGTAGCTGCTGCTCGTGAGTCACAGACCACCCTTTGCACAAAGCTCTGGGTGCAGTTAAGGGTCAGCGGCTGATTAGAGGGAAGTCATGGATGGCTCAGGCAGAAGACACAATCAGACAGGTTTGCATCTCTGAGAACATTTGGCGAGGAGAGGAGTGGGTCCAAGTGCCACACGAACAGTCAGACTTGTGTAGAGTCATAATCAAACTGAGCCGGGAATGCAGAGACTGGCCAGCGGGTGCCACAGAGGTGGAAATTCAGCAATTAATTCAAGATAATGCTCTCTCAGAAGATTTAATCATTTACACAGACTGTTCAGTGTAAAGAGGCAAAAGAAGTGCTTGGGCTTTCTTAGCAAAAGTTAATGGTCGACGTTTGGTGCAAGAGAGCCTAGCATATGATACCACAACACCCAGCTTAAGAATGGAGGTGGAGGCGGTCACTGTGGCTTTCCGCAGGCTAGAGAACACCACACACACACACACACACACACATTGTGATTGTAACTGACTCAGAAAGCATGCTGAGGAAGATCAGGACAGGCATGCTTCGTGCATAGTGGCATAGCTCGCTGCGGAATACACAGGTGAGGAGTATTGTCTGGATTTTTTTCACCCGGGAATGCCGGTGTGTTGGGAAATAAACAGATGGACAGACTGGCTGGCTCTGCACAGCTTGGTGGAATAATGATAAGGCAGACGTGGTTAGTGTCTTGTGGGAGAGCTTGTACAGTTTGGAGGAGAAGATTGATCATCACAGTGTGGTGAGAATGATGCAGTTAGGGTTGACGAAAGGTTCTGGCAGATGCTCGAGGCTCAAAGGAAAGGCAAGACGGATGTTTAATCAGAATGCTACTGGCACCATTGGTATCGGAACTCTTCTCTGGCTGCTGAAGATGGGGACGGAGCGTTTATGGGAATGCCCCAAGGGCTGTGATGTCGGTTCTTAAATCGAATCAAATAAATCAAACCTTTCTATCCCCCAATGGAGCATAGGCTCTCAAGCAACTCACGCCAAGTCGTTCTATCCTTTGCTATTACACAGAGCTTTCCCCCATGTTCTCTTATCTTTCTATCTTCATTCTTCAGATCACTTCTCAATGTTTTTTTTCCCTTTCTTTATTCCTTTGCCCCTGTGGATTCCAATGCAAAGACATTCTGATTATACTGCTCTTCTGTTTTTCCTCAATGTGTGTCCTATCCAACGCCATCGTCTTTTCCTCGCCTCTTGATCCATTGGAGCTTGCTTAGTTCTCCCCCAAAGCTCTACATTAGTTATTCTATCATACCATTTAATTCCCTTTTTTTTCTGCGTAGGCAACATTTAATGAATGTCTGTAATGTATTAGTAATTGCCTTATTTGGTCTAAATGTCTCCCCCCCCCCCCTTTTTTTTTTTTTACAAAGTACTGATTTGTCATAAGAATAAAAAAATTTAAGTTTAGTATTTATTTTAATTTCTTTTGACCTTTACAAATTGTCTAGTGCTATGAAAGCGTCTTTTGTGTTCTTATTTTAATATCTCTATCAATTCCTTCATCTTTATCTACATTACTGCCCAAATAGGTGTACGACTCTACGTCTTCATGTGGGGTGCCATTAAGAGAAACCACATTACTTTTTGCCTGATTTATTCTCATTATCATTGTCTTTCCTTTGTGAATTTTCAGACTTACCTGTTGTGATCTCGCATCAAGTATATTTTATGTATCTTGCATCTTAATCCGTGAATGGGACAGAAAAGAAATATCATTAGTGAAGTCAAGTGGTTTTGTAGGGGTCCACTAAATTCCATTCTTGGTGTTAGCAGTTACTGTTTTCATAGGTTTAAAAAAAAAAAAAAGGTAAATTAAAGGACCCTTTTCCACACCTTTAGGCGTATAGGGCATATAGGGCCATAAGTCTATAGCCAGTGAAAAAAGTAGAGACGACAAAAGACATACCTATCGCAGCCACGTTTCTATTTTAAATTTATCTGTTAACTTTCCCTCATGAAGAACTCGACATTTTATGGTTTTTTTTGTTGCCTTTACTAAGTTAATAATTTTCTGTGGGATTCCATAGTGTCCAATCAATTTCCAGAGAGATTCCCTATCCATGCTGTCAAATGCTCTTTCATAGTCTATGAAATCCAATATAAAGTGGTGAGTTCGGTTCAATGCTTTGCTCTGTTATAATACGTAATGTGGCTATCTGGTTAGTACAGGATC